GCAGGCTTGGTGTTCCGGGGCTCTGGAAGGATCTGGAAGTCAAGTTTTTGCTTATCTCGAAGGAGGTAAGAAAGGAGAAGCCAGCGTCTACCCAGTGGACCAGGGTTTTTCTTCGCCACTTACAGTTGGGATGGAGCATGAGTGGAGGAAGTGGAATGGAGCATGGGAAGGCAAGGAGGAGCATGACGGAGAAGGCAGTTGGTTTGTCAATCAGGCCCCTACCCGAGCACCTCCCCTCCCCACGGTGGGCACGATTCCTGGGGCTTCGAAGGCGTTCAAGAAGAGGACGTGTACCCCTGGCGGCTTTCACCCGCGCCACTTCGCCATCATCTCTGAATCTGGTCAGCATCTTCCCTGCTTGCTACTGCGTCTCTCCCAAGTGGTCAGTGTCTTGACTCGCCAAGTTCGTGACCTTTTTGTGCTTCTGGCCAGGAAGGTCAAGGGGCCAGACAGGCGACCCATAGGCCGCTACTCGGCCTTCGCCAGGATGCAGGGCCAGTGCCTCTGCAAAGGAGGGAGTGGGGGTGGTGCTTGGGGGGCGGGTGCCCAGTGCAGCATGAGTAAGGGGAGGAGTGCTGAAGATACCGTATGGCGTGCTGCAGTCAGAGCTGAAGTGGAGGGTAGCAGACAGGGTGCACGTGCAGACGAGAACCTAGATCACGATTTGCTCTATCGTGCTTCCCAGGCTTTGCAGTGCCCGCCTCCATGCTATTCGTCTGGCGCTACACATGTACTCCATCCCGCGGAGGATCTTTCTAGGCGGAGCCGTGGGCCCACGGATCTATCCTTCCATGGGAATCGTCGCCGGTTCCAAAACGGCTACGACCGAAGCCAAGATGTATGTTATGCCCATGCTAGCGGACGTCTCCACCACAACGGAAGAGCAAGCATCGGCATCCATACACATAGACGACATCACTTCTAGTTCTTGGGCTTTTGGTTTAGAAGGCTGTGTTCAGTATCTCTGGCGTTTTGGGATGAAGCTCAAGGAGGGTCTGGCTGCTCTTCACCTTCCTCTGGCTGTCGACAAGCTCGCAATTGCAGCTAGCTCAGGTCCCCTGCTCAAGAGGGCCAAGGAAGTCTTCGGAGTGGTTACAGGGGCGGCAGTGCCGTCAGCTCCTCACCTAGGCATTGACTTCGCATCAGGAAAGCATAAGCGGCGCCCTGGGGCCAACTCGACACGGAGAGCAAGATGGGCCAAGGCGCATTCGCGTTTCTGTCGTCTTCGGGGTGTTAAAAGTAAGAAGCCGACGGACAGGTCTCGCTTCTTTGCCCCTGGAGTACGGTCTGGTCTATCGTACGGTGGGAAGGTTCATGGTTACACGCCCGCTGAGATAGATAGGCTACGCTCTATGGCTAGGGTTGTTTCAGGACACCAGCCTAGAGGGGCACGGACCGACATCTGGTGGCAAGTACACGAGGTTCCAGATCCGCTTAGTCTAGCATCCAGCACTTTGGAAAGATATTGTATGGAGTGGTGGAGGGCAACGTCAGGGAGATCAGAGTTCGGCATGCATGCAGATGGGCTAGATGCTAAAGAGCTCAGGACTCTCTTTGTGGCCGTGCAAACTAAGTTCCAGGACCCAGGCAACACTTCTTGGCTAGGACGTTCTGCAGGACCTATCTCAGACATGCCTCTTTGGGTTCAGAGAGCGGGCTGGCATTTTCACAACCCGACCACCCTCCAGCCTAGATTTGGAGGCAGCATCAATGTCCTGGAGGCTCCGCCAGTCTCGATTGCCAAGCAGTTCACAGAGGACCTCAAAGAGCAACAGTCCCGCCTGGCTGAAGGCATCGAACAGGGTGCTCCTCCCCCTCCCCCTCCTCCGCCAGTCGGACAGGAAGGGGGTGTGGACTGGGTCCAGGTCCGTAGGGGGCTTAGGCATGTTCGAAAGCGGCTCGCCCCCGACGAGTACACCAGCCTCAGGCGCTGCATGTGCGGCTCCTTTATCACAGGTAAGGTTATGTCAGGCTGGGGTTATGATCTTCGGCCATCTTGTCCTTATTGTCTGGAGGTAGATACTCAATACCACAGGCCATGGGCATGCTCTCTCGGAAAGGAGTTCAGGGCAGAAGTCGTGGGCTTGGACGTCATCGAAGGGGCTTCGGAAGATTCGGCCTTCTAGTATTCGCACCTTTGGCCCCCCAGAATTCTACTTGAACCGCTGCTGGAAGAATGGGATACTCGTTATGTAGATGCCAACGGGCCTTGTGACCCTTTCGAGTTTGAGCCCAACAGCGAAATCTTCACATATGGTTCGTGTTTCGACACCGAAATTCGCCGCCCTGCCCGAGCAGGATCCCCCGCTGTAGAACTGAACGAGGACAACTCGCTCAAGCGTGCAATCTTCGGGGGCCTGCCGTCTTTCGGGGGGCAGACCGCGGTCGACGGGGGGCGCGGGGGGCTACTTATGGCAGTACTTCACTCCAAAGCAGCTTCCACGAACACATTCGTTGTAGATTGCGCGGCCCTCATCCGCAGATCTATCAAATCTTGCATTGACGGTGGGCCCCCGTTCTCCAGGGTCTGGAGGCGCATCAGCCGCGCGCCCCCCCGCGGGCGAATGGCTGCACCTAGTCGAGACCAAGGGCCACAGGAAGGAGTCGGAGGCAGTCAATGAGTTAGGTCGGATGTATATCCTAGGCAACATTGCAGCATATCACTATGCAGGGCAGGGTGCGCGTAGTCATCGCCCAGCACCCGCCGTAGTTGATGAGCATGTTGCCGCCCATGATCTCTACTTGGCTGTCTTGGTCGTGGCCGGTAAGATCTTGGGGTCTTGGCCGAAGTCCGAGGAGTTTTGGGGTGAGCTGCAGAAGCTGCCCAAGGGGCCTAGACCTTCACCGCCAAGACCGTTTGCCGAATTACATCAGTCAGTTTGGGATGGGCAGAGATATCGGTGCCTTAGTTGCTTAAGGATTGTTTCCCCCAAGTCGAAGTTTGACTGCCAGGCCGTGTCACCAGCTATGGGGGAGGTGATCAAGCAGCATAAGAGGCTCCATCACACGCTGTACGTAGGCCGGCTTGATTCAGAGCTCCTTGTTTTTCTGCAACCATTGTGGAGGTTTCAGTACGCATCGTGGTTCGACGAAGCTTACTGACCCCAGGGGTTGTACCAGGAAGACAAGCAGTGAGCTTAGGAAGCTTAGGAAAGGCATGCTCCCAGGCTCAAATGCCAAGATCAGTAGGATCCTGCCCTTTATACTTGGGTAGTATAGCAGTGGGATGGTTGGGGCAGTGCAGCAGTTCAGAGGGGCAGCTGGTGGGAGGGGCTGTCTTGTCTGTGTTTTCTCGCCATCCTAGGGGGGGCCTGCAGGCGGAAGGGCCCCTGCGCCAGAGTGCTGGGGTCACGGCCCAGGGGTGCCGTGGCATAGGATGCTCCTTCGGCCTGTTTGCTTCCCCTAGTCTGCCCCTTCTGCGGCTCTCCACACCCGTTTCTGTGCGTGCCCTGCGAGCCCTCCTTGCCTCGGCCTCGGGCCCAGCCTCCCGTCAGCTCTCGCGCGCGCGCCGTGCCTGCCCGCTATGGTGGAGAGCAGGCAGGGTCCGTAACAGGTGTGCGCGTCTCAGGGCTGCCGTGGTTGGATTTACTTCTCGAGGTTCAAGGAGGAGGATGAGGACGTGCTTGCGTGCAAGCTCTGCGGGAACCCCTTCGACCCGCCGCAGGAGGCACTGGGGGCCATCAGGGAGGCCCGTGCCGCCCGTGCTGCCGCCGTCCGTCAGCCTATCCCGCCTGGTCCAGCTCTTCCTGGCCCAGTCGCTCCTGGACTTTTGAGGCCCTCGGCCGCTCCCAAGCCCTCAGCCAGGCGTGAGCTTCCGCTCTCGGTCAAAGGATCGGCACCGCATCCTCTTCCTAACCCCAAGCTCTCGGGCCCTCCAATCCCTTTCCCTCCTGCCCTGCCCCGCGGGCAGGAGCTGTCCATCCAGGCTTTGGAGCCTCGGGGGCTGGGCGCGCCCCCCGAGGCCCGCCCCTCTGGCAAGGCGCCGTGGCAGGGCAAGGGGGCGGCAAAGTCATCCTCGTGGAGGCCGCCTCAGGCCACTTCAGGGAGCGATCCGCCTACGCTTGGAAGGAAGTCCGTTGGGCCCACGGCCATGTTCAGAGGAGGAAGGAGGAGAGGCGGGCCAAGGGGGCCCCCTCCTCTTCCGACTCTGACGTGGAGCAGGCAGCTGCAAGGGAAGCTGTCAGGCGGAAGGGCCGTCAGATTACAGCATCGGATAACAGCAGCTCCAACGGCTTCCTCTCCCTGTCTTCACCTCCCACCTTGCTCCTGGGACCAGCCTAGGCGGGGTTTGGGTTTGGGGCTTCGGCGGCGCTTATTCTCCTCTTTCCCTCTTTCCTCCCTCCGTCTCGGCCTTCCTTCTTCTCCGTGAGCGTCGCCTTAGCCTCTCGTCCTATTTTTGTTGTCGCTCTCTGCTCCTAGAGTGGACTTGCGACACATCGGTGCATCAGTGCACCAGAGGAGGAGGAGGAGGAGGAGGAGGAGGGGGAGGAGGAAGAGGAGGAGAGGGAGGCCCTTCAAATATGCAGGAAGTCCAAATGGCTTGATCCTCCCCCCTCTCCTCCCCCCTCATTTCTCCCTCCCCCCTCCGTCCTCTCCCCTCCCTCCTCCCTCCTACTCCCTCCTCTCCCTCCTCTCCCTCCTTCTCTCCCTCCGTCCTCCTCCTCCCCCCCCCTCTCTTCCCCCTCCGCTCCTCCCCCCTCTCCTCCTCCCCCTTCCTCTCCTTCGCCCTCCATTCCTTCTCTCCCACCTCCTCTCCTCCCTCCTCCCTCCCCCTCCTCCCTCCTCTCCTCCCTCCTCCCTCCTCCTCTCCTCTCCTCCTCCTCCTCCTCCTCTCCTCCTCCTCCTCCTCCCTCCTCCTCCTCCTCCTCATCCTCCTCCTCCTCCTCCTCCCCCTCCCTCCCTCCCTCCCTCCTCCTCCCCCCCCTCTCATGCCCCTCGCCCGGGCGGCCTGCCCGCCCCGGTGGGCCCCTGCTGGCCTCCCGCGCCCCCGGCCGACCGAGTTCCAAACAGCACTTTCACGTCAACGTCATGGACGACACGGTGCGCCCCAAGGGGAGGGGAGCAGGAGGAGGAACAGGAACAGCAGGAGGAGGAGGAGCCTGAGGAGGAGGAGGAGGCGGATGATGATGATGATGATGCTGATGATGATGATGATGATGATGATGATGATGATGATGCTGATGATGATGATGATGATGATGATGATGCTGATGATGGTGATGGTGATGGTGATGGTGATGATGCTGATGATGATGGTGATAATGATGATGATGATGGTGCTGATGCTGCTGCTGATGATGCTGCTGCTGCTGATGATGATGATGATGACGACGGGGATGGTGCTGCTGATGCTGATGATGATGATGCTGCTGATGATGCTGATGCTGCTGCTGATGATGATGCTGATGATGATGATGATGATGATGATGATCATGATGATCATAATGAGGATCAGGATTAGGATGATGCCGATGCTGCTGCTGCTGCTGCTAATGCTGCTGCTGATGATGATGATGATGATGATGGTGTTGATGATGATGAGGATGCTGAGGCTGCTGCTGCTACATATTATGATGGTTATGATGGTGATGCTGATGATTATGATGCGGATGATGATGACGATGATGATGGTGATGATGCTGATGATGATCATGATGGTGGTGTTGCTGCTGATGATGGTGATGCTAATTCTGCTGCTGCTAATGATCATGATGATGATGATGATGATGATGATGATGATGATGATGACGGGGATGATGCTGCTCATGCTGATGATGGTGATGATGATGCTGCTGATCATGATGATGATGATGATGCTGCTGATGATGACAATGCTGCTGCTGATGATGATGATGCTGATGAGTATCATGATGATGATCATGATGATTATAATGAGGATCAGGATTAGGATGATGCTGATGCTGCTGCTGCTGCTAATGCTGCTAATGCTGCTGATGCTGCTGCTGATGCTGCAGCTGATGCTGATGATGATCATGATGCTGCTGCTGCTTCTGCTGCTGCTGCTGCTGCTGATGATGATGATGATGATGATGATTCTGATGATGAGGATGATGATGATGATGATGATGATGATGATGATGATGATGATGATGATGCTGCTGCTGCTGCTGCTGCTGATGATGATGATGATGATGATGATGCTGCTGCTGATGATGATGATGATGATGAAGATGATGCTGATGCTGATGCTGATGATGATGATGATGATGATGATGATGATGATGATTATAATGATGATCAGGATTAGGATGATGCTGATGCTGCTGTTGTTGCTAATGCTGCTAATGCTGCTGATGCTGCTGCTGATGCTGCAGCTGATGCTGATGATGATCATGATGCTGCTGCTGCTTCTGCTGCTGCTGATGATGATGATGATGATTCTGATGATGATGATAATGATGATGATGATGATGATGATGATGATGATGATGATGATGCTGATGATGATGATGCTGATGCTGATGCTGATGCTGATGATGCTGATGATGATGATGATGATGATGATGATGATGATGATGATGATGCTGATGCTGATGTTAAGTCGGGCCTGTCCCCCTACGGGGGCATTTTCGCCGAAAAAACTACCCCCTCAAAAAGTCAAAACAAAGTCCAAAAATTGTCTGGAGACTATTTATTGAATATTTTTTTGACCCTTTTGGGGTATTTTTGGAATATTTTTGAGGTTTCTTCGAAAGTCCCCCTGTAAGGGGGACACGCCCGACATAATGCTGATGATGAGGAGAAGGAGAAGGAGGAGGATCAGGAAAAGGAGGAGGATGAGGACGAGCAGGACGAGCAGGAGGAGGAGGAGGAGGAGGAGGAGGAGGAGGAGGACGAGGAGGACGAGGAGGAGGCAGGAGACAGGAGGAGCTGGAGGGGACAGGGATGGAAAGGATGATGATGATGATGCTGATGATGATGCTGATGATGATGATGCTGATGATGATGAGGATGATGATCCTGATGCCGATGTCGATGGTGGCGATGACAATGACGATGCTGATGACGATGATGCTGATGATGATGATGATGCTGATGCTGCTGCTGATGATGCTGATGATGAGGATGATGCAGATGACTATGATGATGCTGCTGCTGATGATGATGCGATTCATGATAAGGATCGGCATGCAGCTGATGATGATGCTGATGATGATGTTGCTGCTGATGATGATTCTGATGCTGATGCTGCTGATGATGCTGCTGATGATGACGATGATGATGACGATGGTGACGACGATGATGATGGTGATGATGCTGATGATGATGCTGATGCTGATGCTGATGATGATGCTGATGCTGATGCTGATGCTGCTGCTGCTGATGATGATGATGATGATGATGATCATGATGCCGATGACGATGACGATTCCGGTGACGATTTTGATGACGATGATGATGCCGATGCTGATGATGATGGATGATGCTGATGCTGCTGCTGATGATTCTGATCCTGATGATGATGACGATGATGCTGCTGATGCTGATGATGCTGATCACCGTGATGATGATGCGGTTGAGGATGGGGATGAGAAGGAATGTGATGATGATAATTAGCACTGTCATCATGGTGACGGTGCTGATGCTCATGATGCTGATGCTGATGATGCTGATGATGATGTTGCTGATAATGCAACTGTTGCTGATGATGTTGACGATGATGCTGATGCTGATGATGCTGCTGCTGCTGATGATGATGATGATGATGATGATGATGCTGCTGATGCCGATGATGATGCTGATGCTGATGATGATGCTGATGCTGATGCATATGATGATGCTCAGGATGATGATGCTGATGCTGATGCTGGTGCTGATGATAATGCTGATGTTGTCGTTGATGATGATCATGATGATGATGACGATGTCGATGATGATGATGATGATGATGATGATGATGATGATGAGGATGAGGATGAGGATGAGGATGATGATGATGATGATGATGATGATGATGATGATGATGATGATGATGATGATGATGCTGATGATGATGATGATGATGATGATGCTGGTGGTGGTGGTGATAATGATGATGATGAGGAGGAGGAGGAGGAGAAGGATGAGGAGGAAGAGGAGGAGGAGGAAGATGGGGGAGGAGGACGAGGATGAGGATGAGGATGAGGAGGAGGATGAGGAGGGGGAGTAGAATGACGAGGAGGAGGAGGAGGAGGAAGACAAGGAGGAGGATGAGGCGGAGGCAGGAGGCATGAGGAGGAGCTTGAGGAGAAGGAGGATGATGCTGCTGATGCTGCTGCTGATCATGATGATGATGATGCTGATGCTGATGATGATGATGATGATGATGATGATGATGATGATGCTGATTCTGATGCTGCTGATGATGCTGACAATGATGATGATGATGGTGGTGGTGGTGATAATGATACTGATGATGATGATGATGCTGATGCTGATGATCATGATGATGCTGATGCTCATTATGCTGATGCTGATGCTGATTCTAATGATGATGCTGATGCTGATGCTGCTGATGTTGATGATGACGACGATGATGATGATGATGATGATGATGATGATGATGATGATGATGATGATGATGATGATGACGTGATGATGCTGATGATGATGCTGATGATGATGATTATGATGATGCTGATGCTGCTGATGATGACGTTGATGAGAATGATGGGGATGCTAACGTTGATGACGATAGTGATGATGATGCTGATGATGATGATGCTGATGATGATGATGTTGTTGTTGGTGGTGGTGGTGGTTGCGCTGATGATGATGATGCCGATGGTGCTGCTGATGGTGATGGCTGTGACGATGCTGCTGCCGATGACGATGATGATCTTGAAAGTGAGCATGATAATGACGATTATGATAATTATGATGATGATGATGCTGATGCTGATCTGATGCTGCTGGTGATTATGATGATGATGCTGGTGGCGATGATGATGACGATGGGTTGGGGATGATGGGGATAAGGATGATTGTGAAGCTGATGGTTATGATGATGACGATGGATTGGGGATGTCGGGGATAAGGATGATGATGATGATGATGATGATGATGATGGTGGTGGTGGTGGTGGTGGCGGTGATGATAATGGTGCTTATCAAGATGATGATGCTGATGATGATGATGATGATGATGATGATGGTGGTGGTGGTGGTGGCGGTGATGATAATGGTGCTTATCAAGATGATGATGCTGACGATGATGATGCTGATGATGATGCTGATGCTGATGCTGATGCTGCTGCTGATGATGCTGCGGCTGATGATGCTGATGATGCCGATGATGATATTGATGATGCTTCTGATGATGATGATGAGGATGATGATGATGATGCTGAGGGTGCTGATGATGATGCTGATGATGATAATGATGATGAACGGGTTGCTGATGCGGATGCTGCTGCTGCTGCTGATGATGTTTATGCTGCTGCCGCTGATGATTATATGATGGTGATGCTGATGATGATGATGATGATGATGATGATTCTTATCATGATGCTGATGCTGATGATGCTGATGATGTTTAGGAGTATGTCAATGCGGATGATGCTGATGCTGATGCTGATGCTGATGCTGATGCTGATGCTGATGATGATGATGATGATGATGATGATGATGATGATGATGATGAGGAGGAGGAGGAGGAGGAGGAGGAGGAGGAGGCGGAGGAGGAGGGGGAGACATGAGGAGGAGGAGGAGGAGGAGGAGGAGGAGGAGGAGGAGGAGGAGGAGGAGAAGGAGCAGGAGGAGGATGAGGAGGATGAGGCGGAGGAGGAGGAGGATGAGGAGGACCAGAGAGATTCCAAGATGCATCAACGATGCTGCAGTGCAATCTGCCGCCCAGGGTCCTTTTCTCATGCGTGTCTGATTGCACGCGCTCCTGTCCACCGCAGGAAGCGCCCCGTTTGAATGACGACCCTCATTTGGGCCTACCGCTCAGGCGAGACTCCGTCTTGTAAAGGATCCACCCTGCCCCCTTCTAGTTACTAGAAAAGAATCAGGTAGGGTGAGAAAGCCCTGTTTTGAAAA